CAAAAATCATTTTTCTGTAATCACTTTTTCTGTCCCTCTTCTCAATCTCCCTTCACCAAAAAACATCTTCCAATTGTAATAATTACTACAAATGCTATACAAGCCTCAATAGACTCTTTTTACATCCACTCTTTAGCCACCAAAACGTCTCATCTCTTACGGATTCTCAAGTCAGGGTTAGTAAGGATCAAGGTGTATGTCACATGATCAACTTGCACAATCTCTTTTCCACTTTTTGTGTTTTTCTTTGTTCTAGCACCAATATCCTGAGGCTTTCACTAACAGAAGACTCTTGTATCTGACAAGATCTAGGAGTTACCTTTCCAATATTCCTCCTCTGTTTTTTTCTTTCTTTTTTGTTAGATATAATGAACTGGTTTTCCCATCGCCTTAGCGTCAAGACTATTTACTCATTTTTTTCATTGCCTTCTTTCGACATTCGCAACGTGCTATTCTGCTATTTGCCAAGACCCCAAAAGCAACATAATGACAGTAAATCTACAGTCATTTCACTTAGAATAGAAATATTATTGCATACTATTTTAATCTCTTTCCAAACTCTTTTTTAGAACCTATGTTAATGCCTTTTGCTAAATTTTTTAGACCTTTGAAGCTTTACAATGCATCATTCCGCCTATCTAATTTAGGCCCTTTTGAATATTATAAATGATAATTTCCTCCAAAGGAAAATATATTCTCTACCATTTTCTCCATCGTAAACTTCTTGCATTAACATAATTTTTTTTTTTTTTATTTTTATTATTTAAAACCAAACTGCATTTTCATTTTAGGTCCAAAAATTTATGCTTGCATTTGTATCGACTACATTTTAATCGTAATATTATTGTAACTATTAAAATGAAATTTTCAAATATCATTGTAAGGTGGTGGTGGGTAGGTCGGTTTTTCACAAGAAGTGGTCCTACTTTCTCTCCTCTCTTTATTTTATTTTCTTTTTCTATTTAGCCTTTCTCTATATAATGCTGACGTTTTCTCTTTTGCCTATTACACCCATAAATATTCAATAATCAACCATGAAGGTATTAACACTCGCTCTCTTCGCTTCAGCTGCATTAGCTAATTTGGACATTTTGAAAAGAGCCGATACACCGAATCTTTGCGATTCTCAAGTCTGTCTTGATGCTGGAAAACATTTGGACGATAATTGTAATTCCGATGTTGATAATCTTTTATCTTGTATTTGTCTGATAGACGTTGATAATGATTATTGGAATAAAATGACTGACTGTGTTAATGGATGTGGTTATCAACAGGCAACTAACAGTGCTATTAGCAATAGTGAGTTGAGGCAGATGTATTGTGATGCCGCTAAGGTTTATTCATCTCTTTCTACAGAGTTATCAAATCAATCTGGCACAGAATCTGCTACTAACTCAATTGATTTTTCGGCCATCATGTCTGATTTGTCCAATGCCGCAACTGCTTCTGAATCCAAAGATCCTTCTTCAGCAATTGCAGCTATTTTGAACACTTTATCTGCTCTTTCAACTGAGGGGACAGAGCTGTCTGGATCTGGATCATCTACAACAAACTCACAATCTGGATCATCTGCTTCTACTACCCCAGGTTCATCCACTACAGGATCAAGTAATATTGCTGCTACAATTGGTTGTGGGTCCTTGATCTCTTTAGTCTTATTATCCATTTTGTAATTCTAATACATAGACAATCCATTAACAAAAAAAGAGCGTGCCATTTATGTTATAAAGGTTTTGTGTTTCAACTATATTTCCTCTTTGGGTTATACCTCAAAGTAAAATGTGCAAACCTAAAAAGTTGAGATCGAAGAAAAAAAAAAATTGTAAAAAAGAAAGAAAGACCTCTAGAACAATCACCTCCAGAACAATCACCACCCAAAAGAATGAAGAACATTCACCTCCCAGAAGAATGAAGAACAACCACCACCCCACTCACACTATCCTTTTGATAATGTGGGGTTTAGTCTTCAATAGGGTTTAGTGATTTAGTACAGAATTTGCTTCTTGTCCTCTGTTTTTTTCCTGGGGTGTATAGAATCGAATCCCTTTCTTGGACAATATACAAAAACAGTAATAAAAAAAAAAAAAAAAAAAAAAAAAAAAAAAAAAAAAAAAAAAAAAAAAAGGACTAGAACATCCTTTGGGTAGTATATATAGACAAAGGGTTTCTCTGGTTATTGATATGTCTTCTTCGCTCCAATTGCTTAATCCGAAGGCGGAGTCTTTTAGACGCGGACAGGCACTACAAGTGAATATCAATGCGGCTCAAGGTTTGCAACAAGTTTTGGCATCGAACTTGGGACCTAAGGGAACGCTTAAATTGTTGGTAGATGGATCTGGAGGATTGAAGTTGACCAAGGATGGGAAGGTATTATTATCGGAAATGCAGATTCAACATCCTACTGCAGTATTGATTGCTAGGGCAGCAACCGCACAAGATGAAATCACCGGTGATGGTACAACCACAGTGGTTTTATTGGTAGGTGAACTATTAAAGCAAGCAGAAAGATTTATTGGCGAGGGTGTCCATCCTCGAGTTATTGTTGATGCTTTTGAAGTTGCACGAGCCGAAAGTTTAGCATTTTTAGACAAATTTAAGCAGACATTGGACCATTTCGATAGGGAATTTTTGTTACAGATTGCTAGGAGTTCGTTAGTCACTAAAGTCACACTGGAAGTATCAGATATTTTGACCCCTATAGTTACAGATGCAGTTTTAACAGTGAAGGATGACGAGCTTGCGCTTGACTTGCACATGATTGAAATCATGACCATGCAGCATGGCAGTGCCAGGGAAACTGAATTGATTAGAGGTTTAGTATTAGATCATGGTGCTCGCCACCCCGATATGCCAAAGAAAGTGAAGAATGCTCATATTTTGATATTGAATGTCTCCTTGGAGTATGAAAAGACAGAAGTTAATTCCGGATTTTTTTATTCATCAGCCGAACAGCGCGAGAAATTGGTTGCTTCCGAGAGGAGATTTGTCGATGAGAAGTTGAAAAAGATTATTGATTTGAAAAATGAGGTTTGTGGAGATATAAATTCGGACCATGGGTTTGTTATAATCAATCAAAAGGGGATAGATCCAATGTCGTTGGATGTATTGGCCAAAAATGGTATATTAGCTTTGAGAAGAGCAAAACGAAGAAATATGGAACGATTGCAGTTGATTTGTGGCGGTGAAGCACAAAACTCTGTTGAAGACTTGACTCCAGAGATTTTGGGTTTTGCTGGTTTGGTTTACGAGAACAGTATAGGTGAGGATAAATTTACCTATGTCACAGAATGTAAGGATGCTAAAGCTGCAACTATTTTGATTAAAGGTTCCAATCAACATGTATTGCTGCAAACTAAGGATGCAATAAGGGACGGACTAAGAGCTGTGGCTAATGTCGTAAAAGATAAGAGTATTGTACCAGGTGCTGGGGCTTTTTGGTTGAGTTGTAATAATCATTTGCTAAATGACAAATCGATATCAAAGGGGAAGAGCAAACCAGGTATACATGCATTTTCCGAGTCTTTATTGATTATACCCAAAACGTTATCCGCCAATGCAGGATTAGATCAATTGGAGACCATCTCCAATTGCCAAGACGAGATAGCTGATGGTCACGTAGTAGGTGTTGATTTGTCCAGTGGAGAGCCTTTGGATCCTACAGTCGAAGGTATTTGGGATTCGTATCGGGTTATTAGAAATGCTATAAGTTCGGCTACAGGTATTGCATCTAATTTACTTTTATGTGATGAGTTGTTGAAAGCTGGTAGATCTTCGTTAAAAGAAGGCGGTGCTGGTGCCCCTGGTGCCCCTGGTGCTGCTCCACCCCAGAGTATGCCCCCCCCAGGAATGATGTAAAAACGTATATAGCAAAAAAAAAAAAAAAAAAGGATTTAGAGTTAATGTGAAAATTGCAACTTATACCTCAACTAAGAGTTTAGTAGTCAAGATAGAAGACTAAAAGAAGAAAAACCAAAAACCAAAAGAATATCACCACTAAAGAGAAAAATGCCAAAAAAAAAAAAAAAAAAAAAAAGCCTTCTAAAGAACAAAATTAGATCGGCTAATTTCTAGACACACCTAATACCTAACACCTAATACCTAACACCTAATACCTAACACTTCTTACTGATAAACCAAAAAGAAAAAAAAAACCCCGTGAAAGAGAACTAAATGAGTAGTTTCCAGGGCGTCTACTCTAAATATTTTGAACGGTTTTTGGAAAGTTTAAACGATGAACATGCTTTCTGCCAAAAGATATATAGAGAAAGATGAAAAAAAAAAAGAATAAAAAAAAAAAGGGCAAAACCAAGTTCCTGGAAAATACCCTAATTACGAATAACTTACAAGATTAAAAAAGGTGAGTTAGATGTGAATCAACCACAATAGAGATAAGAATTGTTGACTTGATGAAATGTGATAATTGGAAGCACATATAAGATATTGTTTCACACAAGTATCCGTCATCATATGGTTTTAATAAGGGCATATCAAGAAGTGGAAGAGAATTGTGGAGAGGGTAAAAGAGGCACATTTAACCTAAAACCGTCTACCTTAAGAAGATTCCACTTATTTACTTTCTGTCTAAATTACGTGAGGGGAAAGAAATTCTGCTGAACGGTTTAAACATAGAGATTGGAATGGATTTGGGCTCATGATTAGTTTATAAGTAATTTCTACGCTCGGAAATAATACATGCAGTCGGGAGTAACTTTTTTTTTTATTTTTTTTTTTTTTACTTCCCATTTCAAACATACGGGTTATATTGACTTGTCCTTCAATGTTTTATCCTCATTATAAGTTCAAGCCAAATTCAGAACCCGTGTGTCCTTCTTCAGGAAAAGACACAATGCTATAAAATTGGAATAGAACTTTAGCGAAAAAATTTCTACACACGGGTTTGATTTGCTACTTTCAAAGCACACACGGATTTAACCAAGTCAGAAAAATAGATTATAATAAACCCTAACTAATCACATATAATTGATTTTTTGAACAAATTTCAAATGGAAAAATAACATGGAGATGTGATTTGGGTTATCTGTATAGTAACTAGAAGCAGCAAAGCAGGAAGTAAGAAATGTTTTTTTCTTTTCAAGATAAGCCACTAGCAGGAAATGACATTAATAAATCTGCGCGATGAAATTTAGAATAAGGATCTATCCCAACTAAAGAAAAGAAAAGAGAAAAAAAAAATAAATTAAAATAAAGGTGGAATAGGATGTAATATAGAAAAAATCAGTTTTGACTTGAAACAAACAAGGCGGAATAAAGCATGGAGCAAAGTTGCTTAGATAGAAGGGGGATATGGTCTTTATCTCTCTATTGATGCTGCCTCTTCATAAAATAACAAAACCAAGAACTGATTTTTTATTTTTATTATTTTTTATTTTTAATTTTCACCCTAATACATACTCGAAATTAGACACCAGAGCATTGAAATAAATCGCAAGACATATGTGTAATATAATTCAATTTTTTCGGCTCGATTTAAATGGAAGACAAGAACTTTGGGGGCCAAAAATAGAAAAGGCATCAATGATTGGAAACTTTCCAAAAGAAGAAACAACACCGAAACTATACGTAGCTATTTTTTTTCCTTTTTTTTAGAGCCCACGTTGCGTCTCTTAAAGTTGCTTTTAAAAATATTTCATTTAATTTCCTTGGATATTTAGTATCTAGTGGAATTTGGAGGCTGGGGTTCAACTATTTGAATACTACTTTCTTTACGAACTTCTGCAATAAAGGCGGCTCCCCCAAAAAAAAACGTAATTTCATTATAACGTGAGTATGACTAAAAAAACATGACTTAACATGCAATTCTAGACGTGAGGTACAAAAAAAAAAAAAAATGAAGTGGAAGTTGAAGAGAAAGGAGAAGTAAAGGAAGCAAAGAATGGCCAAAAGATATGCGATGCATTGTGAAATTAGCTTTTGTATTTTTCGTTAGACTCAATCTAGAAAGAAATAATTGATTCTGATTTATGTCAGAGCCCTCTCAGGCGTTGAGAAACGGAAAATCACGTTCTAATGGTAAAAAAAGAAAAGAAAAAACATAGGACAAAGAGAAATAAATATGTGAGAAAATGAAAAAGTGAAGAAATAAGAGGGACTTTAAGACTTTTTGATATTTGGGAAATATGATGTGAAACTGTAGAATCTTGGAATCAAAAAATTGATTGGATAAGCATTTTTCCAGGAAAAAAAAAGAAATGAGGAAGAGAAAGGGTTCAAATAGAACATTACATCTTATTTGGTTATCTTTTTTGGTTATCTTTTTCACTAGTGTCCACCCCTCTAAATCCACCAACACTCCCCCCCCCCCCAATAATATGGCCTTTTCCACCTCTGAAAAAACAAATCACAATTATCTTTCATAACGCCGAAAGTAACAAAAACATGTTCTAATTTTTTTTTTCAACGACTAAAACATGAAAAAGCCTGCAAAATGTATTAGGTAATGCATTATACCTTAACTTGCTACACAATAATGCAAATTACATAAAAAAGAGAAGAAAAATAACTCGGACGCGATAAAGAGAGAGAAAAAAGGTAGCATTTCATCATAAACATAATGCCATTTTTCCATAGAGAACAGGTACATTCATGGATCAATCTTACGCTATATATTCTAAGTTTGGGGGAAGGAGGAGGAGGAGGAGGCAAATTTTTTTTTTTTATCTATGTTTATTGTATATATAAACACACGCATACAGTTCCATCTATACTTTATCGGTAATACCCGAGAATAACTGAGAATTGACTCAAAACACAACTCATTAACCTCCTCCTCCTCCTCCTCCCTCCATTATATATATTGATTTCCCACTGGTTGATCCATTGGTTAATGGATTTTTCCTTTCCTTTTTTTTCTTCTTTCAAATACTAAGAAAAAAAATCGATTTTGAAATTCATACTAGTTTCTTTCAAGTGGAGAATCAGTACAGGTTGAAATAAGGGTGACTTTAGAAGGGAACTATTCTGTAAAAGTATAAAAAATTTCAATCAGAAGGTAAAAATATTTATACCTTTTTATTATTTTTTTCCTTTAAAACATTTCAAGGATAGGAAAAGTTTATACGCGTTTTTGAATCGTTGAAAGGCATCCAAAATTATAGAGGACTAGAGACGTGTTATTATAGCTAGTTTACGTTGATAAACAGAGCTAATACTTTTCATTGCATTACCATTTTTGCATATATATATATATATATATATTTATCGCCTTTTTTTTTTCCAAGTAAATCAAGAGTACCTCGATTGAGTGATTCCATTTTTATTGCCCCTAAAACTATTTATCTGGAAAAATCACAAAGTGGAACTAGCAACAAAATAGAAGATAATTTTTTTGTTTCCCTAATAACAAAAAAAAAAAACCTAGAAGGACAGTATTTTCAACAAGCAAAACTTTAAAAATTAAAGTTTTATTGAGAAAAGACGATCTATATTGAAATATCTTGAGGGTTGAGTTACACAGGTCTACCCTATCAAAAACGTTTTTCTTATATTCATTTTTTTTTATTTTTCTTCATCATAGAAGAAAGATACCAAGTTTAAGTTTTCAACCCATTTGATATTTATTAGGATTTAAGGATAAGTTATTGTCTCCCTTTTTGATCCTTATTGTAACAAAAAGTGATTTATATCTCGACTAAAGCCTAAGAAGAAATCAAAGACCAACTATTTATTTTTTTTCCTAAATTTTAATCTTTTTCGAAAATTTATTTTTTTGGATCTTTGTTATTTATTTTTTTTAGTTTTGGCATTTATCAAACAAAGAGGAATTTTTATTTTTTTTTTCCATTCTAGATAAAGGATTATCATTGGTATAACAAAGTCCTTTCTACTTACAAAGACAGAAATAAACACATTACAACTAATTTGTTTTTTACAAAGGCTAAACTGATTAAAGTTGTATACACATTTATTTCATCAAAAGGATTTATTGCAAAGGTAAACTTTTTCTCATAAGAAAAACAAAATCACTTCAAAAAAAAAAAAAAAAACAAAAAAGTCAAAATCTAATTATTCCATTTAACAGTGTACAAAATTCAACCCTCAAAAATTCCATTTGGTCATTCTTGAAAATAAGTGGAGACATTCTTTTCACTTTTTGGAGTTATTAGGATCTGGTAAAATCAAAAAAAGGAAAAAGAAAAATTAAAGAAATTTCGATTTTTCTAATTGGCTTCTTGTTGTTTTGGTGAAAGAAAGAGAGGGGGGCCAAGAAACCAACCATGTTAATTGAGAAAGCAAAAGCTGTTTAAAAATTGTCTAAATTGAAGTTAGTTTTACGTTTAATTTTTTTTTTTACTACTGGAGGCGCACTCTCTCCACCCTTGAAAATTTCACCAAAACAGTTTACACATTTTTTAGACTTCACTATCAATAAGAAAAAGGCGTGATGAACACAATACCAAACGGTGACTCAAAACTGTCACAACAACAAAATCAAATAAACCTTCTACATCCCACAGCAGCAATTCCAACAACAACCACAGCAACAACAACAACCACAGCAGCATCATCAGCATCACCACCACAATATGGCGAAGTACCTAGAGTCAGTGGGAATTCGTATCTATATCCTGCAAGTCATAGCATAGGCAATCACCCATTGTCCCATATTCATCATCAGCAGCAGCAACAACAACAACAACAACAATTGCAACAATTGCAGCAGCAGCAGTTGAAACTGCAAAGGTTTTCCAATCTCCAACAAGATGGACAACAATCAAAACTCCTATATCATCCATATCCACCACAACCGCTAGCCTACCATTCACAAGATATGTACAACCCCAGCCAGCTACAGCAACACCAGACGCAGCACCAGCAATCTGAATATGCCCCAAATCAGTTACAATCACCAGAATACGTAGTTCATGAGAGGCAACAACAGCTACAGCAGCAAGTACAACCTCATTTAGGGATGGCTAGTGTGCCTATACCTCACTACACGATAGCAGCGGATCAATATCAACACAATAGAGATGCTCTCCAACAGCAGCAGCAGCAGCAGCATCAATGGGGAGGCTACACGCAACACCCCCAGCAGCTGCTGCTGCATCCGCAACCGCAGCAACAACAACCCCAACAACCCCAACAACAACAGCCACAATCTACTACACAATCTTATTCACAACCAGTTGGCAAATCTCCAAAACAGCCAAAGAAGCCAGGAAGAAAACCAAAAAAAGGATCTGAGGAAGTTGATTTCACTTCAACTTCAGCAATTCCTAGGACATCTCCGGCAACATCTACAAGTCCGCCCTTAACAAACTCAACAGAGTCTAAAACGGTAACGAAAAGGTCGCGAATGGGGTGTTTGACATGTCGTCATCGTAAGAAAAGATGCTGTGAGACCAGGCCAAGATGTACTGAATGTTCAAGATTAAGATTGAATTGTACCTGGCCAAAACCAGGAACCGAACACAAGAACAAACCAAAGGATCAAAAGGAGGATGAGAATACTATTGATCACGAGATTTATGGTCGAATTAAAGTGTTGAGAGGAATCGTGGAATACCGAAGTAAGTAGGAATAGAACTAGACTAGAGAGAGAGAGAAGGGGGGCGGCGGAAGAAAAGAAAAAAGTAGAGCAAAGAAGATCCATTTCGGCTGATAGAAGTTTTAATTTATTAAAAGAAAATTTACCTTGTAATATTAATCATATATATATGTATATGTATATATATTCATATATTTATCTTTAGGTGTATATATATTCACATAATTATCTTTAGGTGTATATATATGACGTCCTAACTATGTATATATATTTTTCACCAGCCAACAGAAAAAAAAAAAAAGATATACTTGTTTTCAACAACAAAAAAAAAAGGGCACGTATTCTAAAAAGTTGTAGTGTTGGTGATAGCACTAGGTTTGCCCAAGATGTCGGTTGAAACCAAGAGTCTAAGAGATAGACAGATTTCTATCTTGGAGAGGATGCTCCATTTGAATAAAGAGGGTTCTGCCGACCTAACGTTGGCTTCCAAGTCGGAGGAGATAATATGGAAGGTTTTGGTAATGGATGAAAAGTCAAGAGACATTCTTTCCTCGGTACTTCGCGTCAACGATTTGCTCCGTTGTGGAATCACGGTGCATGCTTTGGTTAACAAGAGAAGATCTAAGTTACCTGATGTTCCTGTTATATATTTCATTGAGCCAACAAGAGAAAACATTTCCATTGTGATTGATGATTTGAATGAAGACAAGTATGAGAATTTTTACATTAATTTTACAGCCCATATTGATAGAGACCTCTTGGAAGATTTTGCTAAACAAGTGGCACTACTGGGAAAGGCTAACCGTATTAAGCAAGTTTGGGACCAGTACTTGGATTTTATCGTTACTGAACCCAACTTGTTTTCTTTGAATATCTCAGACATCTTTACAAAATTCAATACTTCGCGAACCTCGGAGGAGGAGATACATCAATTAGTTGGAAAGATTGCCGATGGTATATTATCCTTGATTATAACTATGGATGTTGTACCTATCATACGAGCACAGCATAATGGACCAGCCGAGTTTGTTGCGCAGGAATTGGACTTGAAAATTAGGGAACATATAAGCAATTCAAAACTGCTGGGTAGTGGATTTGATACCAATGGCTCGAGCTTGAGTCAAAGACCTGTGATTATTTTGTTGGACAGAAATTTCGATTTGGCTTCGATGTTTGCTCATTCATGGATATACCAATGTATGGTTAGCGATGTTTTCCAATTGAAAAGAAATACAATCAAATTGATTAAACTGGGGAAAAACGAAGGCGGTGGTGGCGGTGGCGGTAATGAAGGCAGTGGCGAGACACCAGTGATAAAAAACTATGATATTGATCCTCGTGATTTTTTCTGGAACAAGTATTCCCAGTTGCCATTCCCTGATGTCGTTGAAAATGCTGATTTGGAATTAAATTTGTACAAACAAGATGCAAAAGAGATTACAAACAAAACAGGGATCAGCTCATTAGACGATATCGATCCGAATGCTAATGCCACTGCCAATATCCAACAAGCAGTGGAAAAGTTGCCAGAGTTGACAGCTAGAAAAGCTACATTGGATATGCACATGGATATTTTATCATGTTTGATCAACGAGTTGCAAGAAAAAAATTTGGATACATATTTTGAAATTGAACAAAATGCAAGCAACAACGATGCGAAAAACATGAAGGAGTTTTTCGAATTATTGCAAAAGGACTCCACAAAGGATAGCTCAGTGGATAAATTGAGAACTTTGATTATATTGACATTAGTTGGTAACTTGAGTCTGGAAAATATTTCCAAAGCTAAAACAACTCTAAAGAACAAGTATCCTGAGCTCAACATGGACGCGTTTGATTATATACTCCAATTTAAAGATAATTCTAAACTCACAAATTTATCATCATCATCATCCTTGTCATTATTAAACGACTCAAACAACCAAAAGTCATATGCCAACTCGTCAACTGCATCACATTTAAACTCATCTGCCCTATTGAGCGGGTTGTCATCTAAGCTATATGGTTTAACTGAGGGGAAAATCTCCGAAGGTATAAGTTCTATTGCATCGAGGATCAAGAATTTCATTCCTGAAAAAAAGTTGTTGCCAATTACAAACATTGTTGAGGCAATTATGGATCCTCAGAACTCTTCTGCCCAATCGGTACAATTGACAGATGACTACCTCTACTTTGACCCCAAATCACGCGGCGGTGGCCATTCTAAGCAACCTAAGCGCCAATCATACGAAGATTCGATTGTTTTTGTAATTGGAGGTGGCAATTACCTCGAGTACCAAAATTTACAAGAGCGAAGTCATGAACCAGGGAAACCAACAAAAAATATCATATACGGAAGCACAAACATTTTGTCCTCTAAAGAGTTTTTGAAAGAGTGTGAAAATTTGATAAAGTAACTTTTTATTCAAAGTAAAAAAAAAAAAAAGAAAAAAAAAACAAAAAAAAAAAACAAATTGGAAGGGGACATCCTATAGAAAAGTTTTCGTTTCAGTCAAGACTTGTGTAGAACGCGTAGAGTCTAAAAACAACACTTCGCAATCTTCAATATCTTGTAGATTTATCTCTGTGCGCCCAGCTGTAGAACTTAATATACCAGCAGGCGTTAATAATTGTAAAGAATATCTTAAAGAGGTACTAACCCCCTTTTCAGCCAATTCATTCAATGCCTCGTTGCTAAGAATTAAATTTTCCAATTGCGCTCTTTTCGAAATAATGGTCTTTGTCTCTTCAAAATTGTAAGGTAACGTCCTTACAATTAATAGTCTATCAACTAAATCTGGCGGACATCCATGGGGAGCTCTTGTTTCAAAATCATCCGACCCTTTAACAGTTGTCAAACCTCTATTTGATGCCAAAATGACGATGGGGGCTATATTGCTCTCCAAGGCTTTGTTCAAGTAAGTGAAAATTTCCAAATCCAACATGTTGACTTCGTCAATGAACAAAACACCTGGTATCAACTCGGCAACACCTTGGTCAATATACTTTGACACGACTTTATTAACCTCGCCTCTTAACTTATCGGTGATTTCTGTTTTCTTGGGTTTTAATAGTTGCCCCATCATACTCAACACATCTTGACCACCTTGAGGTCTGGCATTGGCCACATCCAAGTCATGTAGCGTTACATCCTGTACGATCTCCTTCTTTTTGTGCACTTCTCCCTTGGGAAGTGGCACATACTCCTCTGCTTCCAAATCGAATTCCGTGGCGTAGGCATCTGAACGACCCACTCTTTTGACTGCTCCGGTATTTGACTCGATGTAAATAACATCACCAACTGATACTCTTTCCTTTTGCAAGGATTCATATATGCTAGGATCCAAACGTAAATTCTTCGTCCCCTTTGCTGTCTTCAAACCAACAACAACGTGACTTATAGTTTTCCCATATCCACCAAGAGGATTTTCCGCTTCTTCAGGGGTTAGTTCAATAACCTCCCCTTCGTAAACCTCTTTGGTTTCTTTTATTCTCAACCCTATTGCCTTTCTAAAATTTTCCATTAATGCACTTGTCTTTTTAACTTCGGCAGAGTACAATTCAGATCCAACAATTGGGCAAAATGGGACTTTAGGTCCCAATTCCTGCGATACAGCTAGTGCCAATGCAGTTTTACCGGTAGCAGGTGGTCCTGCTATCAATACTGCTTTTCCTGACATTCTCTTGCTTTTAATCAAATCAACAATAATTCCACAAGCCTCTCGTGCATCGTTCTGACCGACAAATCCGCCATCAACCAGTTTGGCTATTCCGTGTTCATTCAAGCCAAGACCCTTAATATGAGTATGCGCAGCAGTTCTGTTCTCCCTTTGAGACGTCTGATTGTCATTGACTTCCGATATTTGTACCATTGCAACTTTGTAGCTGGAATGAAAAGGGTTGGGAACTTCTTCTTTTCTTTTTCTTTTTCTTTTTCTTGTTTTTTTTTTCTTCAGCAATTTTCCAAAGCTGAAGAGTGAAAAAAAAAAATAAAAAAAAAAAAATGCAAAGAAAAAAAGAATCAAGAGAGACAGAGAGAGAAAACATACTAACAATGTGGAGGGGAGAAGAAGTGATGAAGTCAAGATGAACAGAATGTTGATTTCTATATACACAACTCAGAAGGCTTCATCTGGAATCTCTATTTCATCGTGTGGCTCCTTTGGTTCTTGAGCTTCGCTCCATTGCGTCACATCGTCTATATAGCTCAAAATTGTCTCGACACTTTTGCTATTTTTTGAACAATCTAGAGGTAAAAACTGTACCATTCCAAAATCATCTATCAAGTTTGCGAGTCTTGTGGTTAGTTTTTTAAATTTCGGGTTTATTTCGTCTTCCTCTTTTGCTAATAAGTACGGATCAGGGTTAAGAAACTGTTTCAATCTTCTCTGTGACACTTTATCCTTGATCAAGTCTATCTTTGAAAGAATATTCAAATGTGGTAGTTCCAATAAGATCATCGCCGACATTGCACTTAGTGTGCCACTGAAAAATTTCGAACTATCTATAATAAATGAAGACTCTAGTAAGTATGTAGCACATAGGTTGAAATTCAAACTGGTTTTTAAATGCTGCACTATTGTTGGCAATATGGGAATATGAGTGTATAATTCAATTTGTCCAGGCATGTCAAATATTAGATACTCATCGTTGTAGTCTCCAATCTCCTCGTCTAGCCAATCTAGATTGTTCAAGAGGAACTCAAAACAGTAAACAAGTCCACCATTCGGTCCAAGATCCATCTCTTCCATAACATCTTGGAGAGATATCAAGTCTCGGATATCAATTGTAAATTCATATTCTGTAGGTTCTGCTGCTGGGTCGAGGTTCACAATATGCGCCCGACGTCCTATTGTTTGCATGTGGGCTATCATGGAATTGCAAAATGTTGATTTGCCCACCCCGGCGGGGCCCATTACTAAAACACCAGTCCTTGACATTATGATTGAAGGGCAGAGAGAGAAAAGAGAATAAAGCTAATGTGGAAGATGATGGAAGAACAAGGTAATGATGATGATGAAGAGAGAGGGAGGGAAAAAAAGAACAAAAAAAAAAAAAAAAAAAGAAATTGGAAAGCCGCACAAATGTAATTTCTTTCTACTTTCTACACCAACAACTAT